GTGTGTGTGTGTTGATCAGTGTGTGTGTGTTGATCAGTGAGGGTGTGTGTTGATCAGTGAGGGTGTGTGTTGATCAGTGAGGGTGTGTGTTGATCAGTGTGTGTGTGTGTGTTGATCAGTGAGGGTGTGTGTGTTGATCAGTGAGTGTGTGTGTGTTGATCAGTGTGTCTGTGTGTCAGAGTCAGAGAGTCAGAGAGTCAGAGTTTCTTTATTGTCATTCGCACCTCATGTGGTACATGTGGTGGAGCGAAATTATGTACACAGGGTCCCAGTTACATCCAACAATAAAATGTATAAGAAAAACAGTAATAACATCTAAGATATGAACTAAGAAAAACATCAACTAAATATACACTAAGCACTCATAACATAAAACATTGAACATCAGCACAAACATGAACATGAGTCTGTGAGCAGATGTGCACGCATGAACACATCAACATTGAAACAGATCAGCAGCAACATGAAACAGATCAGCAGCAACATGATGTGGCTTTTCACAGTGATTATTCTAGTTAGAGATTCATGAGTCTAACAGCCTCAGGGTAGAAGCTGTTCCTCAGTCTAGTGGTTCTACACTTAATGCTCCTCAACCTCCTTCCTGAGGGGAGTGGGGCAAAAAGTGTGTGTGCTGGATGAGTGGGGTCCTTCATGATGCAGGTGGCCCTCTTCCTGCATCTGGAGGTGTAGATAGTTGTGATGGTGGGGAGGCTGATTCCGACAGATTTCTGTGCAGCCTTCACCACTCTCTGCAAAGCTTTTCTTTCTGCAGCTGTGCAGCCTCCATGCCACACATTGATGCTGGAGCACAGGATGCTCTCCACTGCACACCTGTAGAAGGAGGTGAGGACTGAGCTTCCAGACCAGCTCGCCTCAGCCGTCTGAGGAAGTAGAGTCTCTGATGAGCTTTCTTCATCAGGCTGGTGGTGTTGTTGCTCCAGCTGAGGTTGTTGTTCATGTGTACACCCAAGTACTTGTAGCTGGAGACCACTTCCACCGCAGATCCTCTTATGTTCAGGGGGGTGTAGATGTTTTTGTTCCTTGTGAAGTCCACAATCATCTCCTTTGTCTTCTTCACATTGATGTGAAGGTTATTCTCTTTGCACCAGCTCTCCAGGTGTTCCACCTCTTGCCTGTAGCTGGACTCATCATTGTTTGTGATGCATCCCACCACCGCTGTATCATCTGCAAACTTTACAATGTGACAGCCTGGATGGGTAGCTGCACAATCATATGTGAGCAGAGTAAACAGGAGGGGGCTCAACACACATCCCTGAGGAGAGCCAGTGCTGAGGGTTATGGTGGAGGAGGAGAGGTTGTGGATCCTCACTAACTGTGGTCTGTTTGTTAAAAAGTCTAGTACCCAGTTGCAGATGGAGGGGCTTAGTCCTAGTGTGGATAGTTTGTCCATCAGGGTTTGGGGGATCATGGTGTTGAAGGCGGATGTGAAGTCCACAAAGAGCATACGGACGTAAGAGTTTTTCTGCTCCAGGTGGTTGAGTGCAGTGTGGACCACAGAGGAGATTGCATCCTCTGTTGATCGGTTCTCACGGTATGCGTACTGATGAGGGTCCTCGTTGATGTTGATGGTTGTTTTGATGTGAGTCATGATCAGTTTTTCAAAGCATTTAGCGACTATCGGGGTGAGGGCCACTGGCCGATAGTCATTCAGACCAGTCACTGTAGAGCTTTTTGGGACTGGGATGATGGTGGTGGTCTTCAGGCAGGTGGGAACTGTCTCCAGGGTAAGTGAGGTGTTAAAGATGTCTGCCAGCACCTCCAGAGCTGATCAGCACATTCCTTCAACACTTTTCCGGGGATGTTGTCTCCTTTCTCTCCTTGTTGTGTGTGTGTGTTGATCAGTGTGTCTGTGTGTGTTGATCAGTGTGTGTGTGTGTTGATCAGTGTGTGTGAGTGTTGATCAGTGTGTGTGTGAGTGTTGATCAGTGTGTGTGTGTGTGTTGATCAGTGTGTGTGTGTGTGAGTGTGTGTGTGTGTGATGTTTGGTACCCAGAGCATGTCCACAGCTGCGGCAGGGCTCGCTCAGGCTGGCGGCTTGCTGCTGCAGGTCCAGACGAGGAGCGGACGGTGGGTTAGGGTTTTTCCATCCATTGCACTTGCATGTGTCACTGGCCTGACGATCACAAAAAATAAACTTATAAACTACAACCATTCCCCGTGAGGAGGTCAAATTAGTGGCTCTCCGTGCAAAATGCAGGTTCGCCTGCTCGGCAGTTAGCTACAACGCTTCACCGCCACGCTCGTTTATTGTGATGCTGGTTTATTCTTAAGTTACGTCACATAAAAAGTGGTAAGACTATAATAAAAGTGCTTTGTTGTGAACTTCGGCTAGCTTCGTTAGCTACCTTGCATGCGGAGAATACGCCAAGTTTCTCGAGCTTCTTCGCCCGTGGGAAAGCTCGGACTTGGGCTTTCTTCTGGCTTGCACGTTGCTGCTGACTGAGTCCTGGTCTAGCCGGGTCGCTGCTCCCCGGCCCGGAGCCTGTCGCGGCGGAACCGGACCCCGCTGACCCGGTGGACTGGGCTTGGAGAAGCCGGGGTTGCAAGGCCTGCGCCGCCGGGTCCGACATATCCACGCTACTGGTGCTGCCGCCGACTTCCTCCGTTACCGTTTACCTCATATGCTGCCTTCACGTACCGGCAGAAAAAGTGGGGATTTAGAGCAACCGACACCGCGGTTACGTTTTTAAAAAGACTTAATATAATCAAAGTCATTCGTTGAATTACCCGGACTACAAAACGATAAAACCAAACGAATAATAAAAAAATAACTATTTTATACTAAACTGAGACGACGTGTTGGCAGGTATAAATTTGAAAAACCCAGGAGCTCTTCGCCCTCTAGCGGCCACAGCGTAAAACTGCAGCGCAGTTTCATGAGGCTTGATTTAAAGAATTTTAGGAGTTTTTATTTTATAATTATTAGACTTTGCACTTTTTTAAAAATAAAGACTAATTTGTAATTATTATACAAATGTAAATAATGGTATATAAAATGCATTTCCTTTACTGAAATAATTTGCCTCATTTTATGGTTTAAGAGAAAATCTTTAAAGCAAAATCAGTATGTACTGTAAACATTTTTTCAAAATGTTCAAGCTCTTAAGCTTTAAACAAAAAAAAAAATAAACAGCCCCAACTAAGAGTGATGCCATGATGTCAACAGTGTTATCCAACGACTATATTCCACCATGCAGCCCTCAATTGATATTTAAATAAAGTGAAAGAATTAAAACAAGCAAAACAAAAATGATAACTTCCCCTTGTTTATTCATAAAAAATTACACTTTCTTTCTGGTTTCTCTACCCACCCCTCTCAGTTATCTTCTCACCTTACAGCAGTGCGTAATGTTCTGCAGATAATTTTGTGCTAGTTGTAATTTGTTGATGCGGTAACAGGACGACACTTTGGAAGTCATTCTCTTCCTGCACTGATTAGTAAAAATAAACGAGACAAAAAAGGAGAAAAGCTAAGGATAACATCTCAATTCACAACGGCTGATGAGACAGAACCAGTGCATTTAATACCATACATTTCCAGAGGAAAAAAAAAAATCAAGACATAAAAAAAACAATTAGAGTTGACAAATGTGTGAAGATCTGTAAGATATTTTCCAACAGTGACTACGGTGATTATAAACTTGAAAAGTCTGTTACAAATACAGAAATGTGTTTGGTCAAGAAAACAAATCTTGTTTTTGTCATTTTACACAGATCATTTGAAAACATTACATTAATGCTAAAATTACGTATGGAAATTGTTAATAAAGGTTCATTTACTGTATGTGGTTTGATGACGGACTGCAAAACCTTTGAAATCTAGGTTTTAAAATCAAACAGCCTGTATCAAAACAGATACAGCAGCAATAGCAATGTTAATGTAATCAAGATGCACAGCTCTACGAGGAAGTGTGTGTGTGGTGTCCCAGTAGAAACTTCTACCTAATCTCATCCATTAAGCTGATCAGGAACAAGTCAAAAACATGAAGGATGCTGCACACGCGCCTTGCTTTAACCACGATGAACCATTTCTGGTGCATTGAAAATCCGAGCAGCGGTACTCGCAGCAGAAGCCCATGAGCCTGCTTCAATGCCTTCCGTTTGGATTCATTTTCCTCTACACAAACACAGAAAGGTGAACAAGATGGTCCTATTAAGCGCAGTTGGTATTTACTGATGTTTTTTCTTTAAATCCTTCCATGAAGGCTTTTTTTAATCCCCTTCAAGGAGGCGTTGTGTTCATAAAAAAAAAAAAAAAAAAAAAAGGAGAGAAAGAAGTCATGGATTGGCAAGTCCTGGGGTAAGAACATGATTCAGTAAATGGGCGTTGGGCTGATTTGTCGGTCTGTTGGAACCATCTGTGGGGTCTTGCGATTTACTGGCCAGTGGACTCGTTTGCCAGACGGTAAACTGGTGCTCAGAGGAGTTGGTCCGGCCGTGGTTTGGTTCGACCAACGGGACGTTGCTTTAACAGCTGGATAACATCTGGTCTGGTTGATCGAAGCCGAGTTGTGGTCGGATCAGCTGATTCATTGTTTTAGTTAGTTCCCGCCCCCACAGCACTGGCCGCTCCTGCCCTGCGGCGCAGCTTCCTGCAGGTCCACGCCACCTCTGGCTCGTCCACCAGCGCCCGCTCCACCCTGAGGCTCGTTCTTTGGAAGCTTCTTGGCTGTTTCGAAGAGCAAAAACAATCGATTATAATCTACCGCAAGTCGACACAGCTATGGGAGGAACTAAATTAACCGGTTATCAAATTTTATGTAAATGATCATCAGTTGTGTCTGATCGTAAAACACTTAAGATGACTGTCAGAACTTTCATGTGCTCCAGCAAAAACTAACATGCTTTCTAGATAAATATTTGTTATGCAGAAATCCATGACAAAGAAAATGTGAAAATCTTAACATTTGTCAACATTTCTAAATATCTTCTTTGCGTTTTGGGCTGGTGCATCTAGGACCCTGTTCACACTTGATCCGACTTCAACTGTCTGGTTGCATTCAGATGCAGTAGTCCCTCGCTCCTTTGCAGTTCAACTTTTGCAGACTCGCTCCATCACTTTGGCCAACGGTGTTGTTTTAAAGTGCTTTATAAATAAAGTTGTATTGTATTGTATCACGGTTTTTCAGAGTAAGACTGAACACACGAGAAAATAAAATTGTACAGGACACACGATTGTCAACTTTATATTACTCACGTGATCGGGACAGTACTGGATACTGTACAGTAAAAACTTAATAAAACACTTCGAATAGGCGCTGCCATTTTGTAGTTTTCTCTCAATAAGCCTACACTGTATCCCCGCACATAACGACTACATTTCCCAGAAGCCAACAGTGCCCCGCCCAGAAGCCCCGTTTCCTTCTGCTGAAATACTAGAGGGAAAGTTTTGATCCGATTGGAAAAATGTGGCGTTTACTACAGTGACTGTCGCCCAGCGGATGCAAAGAGCCGCACGGAACCCACCAAACCGGACCAGAACCGGACCTCCAGACCCATCGGTGAATCTTGAGAGCTAGTAGCCGGCCCACGAGGACTTCCAAGCGGGACGCGTGCCGCCAAAGGTCCGGTGCTCCATCCAGAGCCCACCGTCACTACCCTGAGCCAGAGAGCCGACCAGAACCGGCAGGGTAGGTCCGCGGAAACGGAACAGAGTCGGACCGGAACCGAGCCGCTGCAGTTCTGCAGAGTCTGTTAGTAGCTACAGAGAAGTATGTTGTTAAAATTAATAGGTTTAAGAGTTTAGAATATTGTGGGCTTTGTCGCTGCAGGGTAGGTCTGCAGAAACGGAACAGAGTCGGACCGGAACCGAGCCGCTGCAGTTCTGCAGAGCCTGGTAAATAAATATGAGTACGGCTACATATACAGTACTGTACGCATGTTGTTGAAATGACGTAGGTTTAAGAGCTTAGAATATTGTTAGAGTGTGGGAAGAGTTTCTAAAGCCTTAATATATATATATATATATATAAATATAACGTTGCTACTTTGTGGATTTTCATGTATTACGGGGTGGTCTGGAACCGAACCCCCGCAGTAAACGAGGGACAACCGTTTTGTTAAACGCAGGCGTGAAAGGCCTCAGTTTGCATTAATCTTTTCACTCGACAGTCTGAAGGAAAAAAGTCTTTATCTGCCAGCTTAAGTTTTCCTTGGGAAACTTCTGAATATTCTCCACCAGCCAAGTTAATTTATCAGAATTCTTTCTCAATTAAAATGTTGGTTTTGTTGGGATTGTATTTATTAATCAGAGTGAATTATGAGAAAGTTGCATGGAGAGTTTCTCTGAACTTTCTGTTGTAGTTTGGTTCTGACTGTTTTTGACCCGGTTGTCCTCGCTGTGTTCACTGTGAGCTGCCATGTCAGTCTGTGGAGCGTTACGTAAAAATCCACTGCATTTCACTGCGATGGGACTTTTCCAGGTTAATTTCTTCAGTTTGTTCTGAAACAAAGCTCAGTGAAGTCGCCAACCCTCGTACTATATTTCTCAGAAAGTGCACCTGGTAGGTATTTGTATATCTGCCTTCACAGCGGGCAACCGGAGCGCAAAAATATTTTGGGGTATGCATAAACCAGCCAGGTTTGAACAAACTCAAGTGCAGCTGTATCATACAAGACGGATAAAGTGACAGGTCTGAACAGGGCCTTGAGAAATCATTGAGAGCATTCTAAAGTCTTATAAATAGGTAACCAAACATTTATTTTGCTGCCTGCCTAAATGATTAATGAAATAACGGCTGCAAGTCCAAGGGAAACTTACCTATAGCCATAAAAATCTCATTAACATTCATAGCAGTTTTGGCTGAAGTTTCCATGAAGAGCAAACTGTTGTCATCAGCGTATGCTTGTGCTTCCTGGAAGAAACAAATCAAATGTATGACGAAAAGACATTTTGAAGATGCACATTAACCTAGCCTAGACCCTGGTTGATAAACTTGAACCTTCAACTGTAACGGCTCGTGTTCACCTGGAAATCTACGGCTCTTTTGTTGGCCAGGTCCGCCTTGTTTCCTGCCAGTGCGATAACGATGTTGGGGCTGGCTTGTCGCTGGAGCTCCTTCACCCAATTTTTTGCACGCGTGAAAGTATCCTTAAAACCAAAAGTGCAACATGCACAAACATAAGACACTGTGCTTTCAAATCTTATAATTGACTGTAAAGAGCAAGGTTTTGTAGCTCTCCCTCAGATTAAGCAAATCAAGCAGCAAACGGATGACAACAGAGTCCGTCTTCGTCCTGCTACTTACTGTGTTGGTGATGTCAAAGACAACAATGGCGGCCTGGGCTCCTCTGTAGTACATGGGTGCCAAGCTGTGATATCGTTCTTGTCCTGCAGTGTCCCAAATCTCAAACTTGACTGTTGTATCATCCAAACATACCGTCTGTGTGAGGAAGGCAGCTGTAAAAAATAAATAGAGATTATATTAAGAAGGGAAACGCAGAAATAAGGAAATATCCAAGCTGGGTTGTGAACCTGTGTATTTAAAGTCCACAAAGAAAAGCTAAAGGCTGTTATTAAAGAAAACAAGGTTTTAACCATCAGATTTAAATTAAATAAAATTAGCAGTCACTTCAGTCTGTGCTGCTAAAACACTTTTTTTTAAACTATCTGGAGTCAAAAGAACATGACATTAATAAAATGAGTTAGAAAAATAATGAAGAATTGCTGAAATGCACAAATAAAGAAAGCCATTAATAGAGAGCCATAATTCACCTGACATAACGAGCCAACTCTCACATGACGGGAAACCGTGCTCCCCCTTACATGGCACATACTTTAAAGCTTTGTAATCTTTGACCGGCTGTGCAGCTGACCACAAGTTCAACAGAACGCAAAAAATGCTGACTTGTTTTTTCAGTCCTTGGTGAGTATCCTGTTCCAACATCCTTTAGCAACTTTACTCATGAGAAACGCAGTTCAACCAGGACAAACATTTAGTTGCTCGCTAGCGTAGTTAAATCAGAGAAAAAAAGAATAAAGTTCAAGGCCATGAAGGAGTTCAATCACCCACTTTCATTAAAGTAATCAAGCAGATATTTTAATAACAGACATAAGCACAAGCAAAACCATTATCACCTGCCACCAGCACTGACTGCTTCTTCATTTTGACCAGTCAAATTCATTACGTTGCTAACTTTTATTTCTACATTGGACAAACTGTTTCTTAAAAAAAAAAAGGATGTACTCTAAAATAAATTTTAAAACAAAACACAGAGTGCCAGTGGGAGGGATGTGAAACGTCAAATAAATTAGTTTTATGTGAAAAGTCAACAGTTCCAAGAGAAAATCTGTCACTGATGATTTGTATTCATCGCTCACTTTAAGATTTTTCCACCGTAAGTAAAATAACTACGGTGTCGTTTAGGTCTAACAGTTTACAAGTTTATCATCGAGGGATTATTAAAAGTTTTGGAAATTTAAAACAAAAAAAATCTCTTTAGATCAGCTCCATTTAAAAGCTGGTGTAGGAAATGTCCTTTATTGCTTTTTGTTCGGTTTTAAAAAGGTGGGTTTAAGTTGTGCATCCGTCATTTAACAGCAGAAAAACAAAGACGTGCCTGCTTTGAGAAGTTTAATGGGCCTGACATACTCCATCCGAAATGATGAAACCGGCTCATTGTCGCAGCTGCGTGACAAAAACTGCATCACTTTGTTCGCAGAGCAGCTTCGCCCGCCCCTTCTCCACACAAGGCCTCGGCCAAACTTTTCCTCGCAGGTGTATGCGCCAAGTATTGTGTTATTGGAAGCTTGAGGGCGTGTTCGTCAACGAGGAAATGCGCTCGGACATTCAGCTGCACAACAAATGCACTAAACTAGTCGAATGGCCAAACACTCCTGGATGGACATCGTGCACGGAGGAGTCCGTCTGCTGAAAAGTGTGGCACTTACTTCAGATAGATTTGTGGCCAAATGGAGGATGTAGCGGGAGCTCTGCGTCCGTGTCTCGTGGACTAGAAAAAGACGTGCACGAAAACGAACGTCCCGCAACCATGTGACCGCGAGTCGACCGTTCGGCTAGGCCCGTCGTGATAAACACTAAATCAATTATTCGCTTGATAAATGAAAATTATCAGCTTTATCGTTTCTTCGTGTCTCTCTTTCTACTGAAGACACTGGATGACAAAAGGCTCAACTCTGGTGCTCTTCACAGACGCCTCCATTTCTCTTTGAAATCTGTTTTAACCGTCCAAAATCACATTTTTGCATTGTTAAAAGCAGCTAAGCTGAGAAGCTAAGCTAACAGGCCGACCGTAGGAAAAAAAAACAAAAAAAAAAAACGGTCTCGTCGAAGCTCCAAAATTCACGGTTGAAACCCGTGCCTTCATGTAAAAAGTTGTTTTTCTCTGCAAAAAGAAGCTGAGAACTTGTTTACTGATTTGTTTTTAATTAAAAGCTTTGTGTGAAAAATGCTAAAGAGCTCAAACCACACCGAGCAGCCGCCATTTTGCGAACCGAAGAGAGACAGCCCATGTCACGTCAAGGGGCCTCCATCCCATTTTTCTTAAAGAGACACACTGCTCGCTCCCTCACTATCCATCCTTTAGTTCAGTCTTACACTGCTATCTGGTGGTCGAAAGCAGGTACTACATGCAAAACAAATTAAACATTTTTTTCTTAAATTTGACAATAATTACTAATTATTGCCAAATATCAAAACAATATCGTTTATCGCAATAATTTGAGACAATTAATCGCCAGCAAAATTTGTTATCGTGACAGGCTTATGTTCGGCTTCCGATGGAGCATGTGGGGCCCTTTAGAGTTCAGCTGAGTCAGCTTTTCCTCTGTAAAGAACTGGTTTTACCTCTCCTCCTCCTGCCTAAACCGGCAACAGAAATGATTAAGACCTGTGATCAGTTCCTCTGACAAGTTTCAAGCTGCTACTTGCGCACAAATGTTTTTACCATGAACCCAAAATATTTCTGTTTATGAATAAAAAGGTTAAACAAAAACTAATGGATTCGTGTTTACAGTTTTTTGTCATCCAAAATAGGACGCTTTGACTTTAAAATAACCCTAACCCACACAAACGAGGTTTGGCAACGATTCCAAAGAAAAGCGCATCTCTGGAAGAAAAGCTCCTCACCTCCGATGGTGCTCTCTTGGTACTCGTGGAACTGGCCTTTGACGAAGCGCAGCACCAGGCTGGACTTCCCCACAGCCGATTCTCCCAACAACACGAGCTTAAACTGACAGATCTTGTTGCTTGCAGAAGTGCCGTTGGTCCGTGCCGGTCCGCCTCGCCCCGCCATATTGCAGTGTGGAAAATTGTGAGAAAATTGAAGGTGTTGGGGGGAGGAAGGTTGACTAAAGGCTTTGGGTTGAGAGCAGGAGGAGGGTGAAGACGGGCTAGACGCAGGTAAGTTCAGGTCATGGGGGAAGACGACGCCTCACTTGTGGGAACTGGAAAACACAACACAAAGCATTAAGCTTTACTGGAAGAGAAAACAAGTTTTGTCGAACAAGCTGCATATCTGCAAATAGTGAGTTAAAGCCAGAAGAAGTTGTGAACACACTAAAGTTTTGTTTCAGCTCCAAAATGTTATCACCAAACAACAAAATGACTCTTGTTGACACCAAAACTAACATTACACACAGCGTTGTTGTGGAGTCTATTACTCAACTTTGTTTAGTATAAATAAGTGCTGAATGAGAACATTCTTTGAAATAGTGTCTTTTATTTCCCTCCCACAGGATGTGCCATAATTGCCATTAAAGTTAACAGTACATTCAGATGCTATTTATTTTTGCTTTGCTAAAAGTTAAAAACACAACCAACTCAGATAAAGTACAATACTGATGAGAAAACTATTAAAAAAAGATTCTATCCAGTTCTAAAGATATATACATGGATTAGCTAAATAATTTAGACCTTTTCTTCTAAACCTCATAAGTATTTTTTTAATTAATTCTTATTTGGTCTGGGGTCCACCTATAATCCGCTCTGTTTGGTTGTCAGTAACAAAAGATCAAGAGTCCAGAACTTGGAAATATAACTGGATCAAAATTCAGATGTAAAGTTTTTAAAAAGATGCAGCATTAACGTAGAACAAAACAGTGGTCTCGGTTAATTTTAAAAGAAATAAACTGTCGTTGCCTGAATCTGGCTGCCAAACCAGAGCACTTTAAAAAGTTCTCCAGAAATCCTTTGAGATGAAACTTTACAGAAGAACGATCTCGAGTGCAAAACAACAACAATCCGTCCTTGTTGACACCAAAACTGACGTCATTCTCCATTAAACTCAACAACCAGTCAGTTGTGCAAAATTATTTTGAACCAAATAAATTTAAAAAACATGGCAGAAGTTAAAAGAATACTACCTTGTGTGTATGTGTATGTGTGTATATATATATATATATATATATATATATATAAATCCATTGGATCATTAAAAGCAATTTTAACACAAAAGATTAGAAAAATGCACATGTTGCCCAAACATGCATGACTGTTTATGATCCTGTAACTCATTTTTAAACTTTCCAACAAGTGTAGCTTTGTCGTCATTTACAAATAGAATTTCTTTATCAAGACAAAAACCTCAAACCACAACCTGCAAGAAAATGTGAGCAACCTGCGGCGGACAAATCTGTTTAGTAAAGATGAAATGATATAAATAAAAATGTTTACCATCTCTCGATGTTCAGGCTGCTATTTTAATATACTGCATTATTTTACATTATTGTGTTTAGTGTTTATCTTAGATCCTTATATACAGTTTATTTTTATACTTTCTATTTTTACTGTTGCTGGATGTAACTGGGACCCCGAGTAAACAATTTCATTCCACCTTATGTACCACATGTGATGTCACTGACAAAGAACTAGGGATGCACGATATTATCGGCATGATATCGGTATCGCCGATATTAACAATAAAATTAAATATCGGACACTGGGCATTCCATCAAAATACCACAGATTTAAAAAGGCACTGTTTTCTAAAATATATATTATACACTGTATTGCCAAACATATTTGCCCGCCTGCCTTGACTCATATGAGCTTAAGTGACATCCCATTCCTAATCCATAGGGTTCAATATGATGCTGGTCCACTCTTTGCAGCTAGAACAGCTTCAACTCTTCTGGGAAGTCTGTCCATAAGGTTTAGAAGCGTGTTAATGGGGATTTTTGACCATTCTTCCAGAAGTGCATTTGTGAGGTCACGTTGGACGAGAAGGCCTGGCTCTCAGTCTCCGCTCTAATTCATCTCAAAGGTGTTCCGTCGGGTTGAGGTCAGGACTCTGTGCATCCACACCAGACTCTGCATCCACGTCTTTATGGATCTTGCTTTGTGCACTGGTGCAGTGTCATGTTGGAAGAGGAAGAGGCCAGCTCCAAACTGTTCCCACAAAGTTGGGAGCATGGAATTGTCCAAAATGTCTTGGTTTGCTGAAGCAGTCAGTTCCTTTCACTGGAACTAAGGGGCCAAGCCTAGCTCCTGAAAAACAACCCCACTCCAAACTTTACACTTGGCACAATGCAGTCAGACAAGTACCGTTCTCCTGGCAACCGCCAAACCCAGACTCGTCCATCAGATTGCCAGATGGAGAAGCACGATTCCTCACTCCAGAGAACGTGCCTCCAGTGCTCTCGAGTCCAGTGGCAGCGCGCTCTACACCACTACATCCGACGCTTTGCATCGCGCTTGGTGATGTACGGCTTGGATGCAGCTGCTCGACCATGGAAACCCATTCCATGAAGCTCTCTGTGCACTGTTCTTGAGCTCATCTGAAGGCCACATGAAGTTTGGAGGTCTGAAGTGATTGATTCTGCAGAAAGTTGGCGACCTCTTCGCACTATGCGCTTCAGCTTCCACTGACCCCGCTCCGTCAGTTTACGTGACCTACCACTTCGTGGCTGAGTTGCTGTCATTCCCAAACACTTCCATTTTCTTACAACACAGCTGACAGTTGACTGTGGATTATTTAGGAGCGAGGAAATTTCACGACTGGATTTGTTGCAGAGGTGGCATCCTATCAGTTCCACGCTGGAACTCACTGAGCTCCCGAGAGCGACCCATTCTTTCACAAATGTTTTTGTAAAAACAGTCTGCATGCCTAGCTGCTTCATTTTATACACCTGTGGCCATGGAAGTGATTGGAACACCTGATTCCAATAATTTGGATGAGTGAGCGAAGACTTTTGGCAATGGAGTGTATATTTGTATAGTGTTACTTCATTTTCAGACCCCTTTTTGGCATCTGCATTTGGTAGCAGGCTAAATAGACAAAGACCATGCAGAATAATGTATTTTAATTCCACAGCAGAGAAAGCTGTGCAGTCTCTGTAAGTAGGCCTAGGAAAAAGACATCGGTATCGGTTATTGGACAAATAAGTTTTAACATATCGGCCAAAAATTAAAATATCGTGCATCCCTACAAAGAACCTTGAACTTGACTCTGTCTCTTCCCATATAAAACCAATAAAAACGTACAACTTACTTAACAAATAAACAACAGAGTTTTTGTGCGTCAACAGCATGCCATGTTGTAGAAATGTGTATCTGAAAATTGTCTAATGTTTTCTTCAGCTGGGTGATACACATGAGGTCAGCCAGCTTCTGCTCGGTCAAAAGACAGGAAACAACTCAGCTAAAAGCAGGAAGTGAAGATTGCAGAACACATTTAACTGCTGAGCACAATAAGTCCAGCGCCGTCACACAGACAACTTGACGCAGGACTACAATACAGCACATACGCAGGAGAGGACATTTGTTGCAGGACGGGAAATGTTTAGATTAAGGAGGAAACGATGCTGCTGCAGATCATTTGTACGAGCTTGGATTTTTTTTTTCCCCAGCTTGCTGCATAGCTGGACCAAATCTTTAACATGTGACCAGAGATCACAGCTTTGGCCATAAATTATTCAGAACTTGCATGTTTTATTTGACAGCATAGCAGCCATGCTCTATAAATGCATTAAAATCAGGCGTCGATGGGCTGAAAATCCATTTAACTCTTTACATAATCTTGAAGAAGAGTGTAAGGAAGTAAACCGATCTGCATTTAGAGCAGAAATTATCAAAAGCATGCTAAAAATCACCCTGGACTCGATCCAGCACACAGGCACTCTTCTGCTCGTGGCATCAAAAATGAGGAAGGAATGAAGGCGCTCTGTTCATTGGAACAGTCAGTCTGTACTTACTGGATTTAAAGCAGCTAAGGTTACTTCACCTGGTAAACTTCTCTTTAAAACCAGTAAGTCTTCAATTACAAGCAAATCAAAAATAAGGGAAGTTAAACAATTGCCAATACTGTATTAAATACTACACAAGAAAATACCTTTCTAAATAATAATGAAAGAACTGGAGAGAGGCGCTGCTGTAACAAAGAACATAAAAAGGTAGAAGCAGCAGATTGACCCACAAACCAAAACATTTTCTTACACTGAGACAAGACCTTCACACATTTATTATTGAGCATCAGGATACCTCACACATCTAAGATCCACCTGTGCCTGAAGCTTTGATGGCATCTCTAACAGGCACCCAAAACCTCCACAAGGAAGTGGGTCAGAGGAAATGTGGGCACTTCTCACAAAACATTTCAAGCCAAGACTTTTGACACTTTCATTCTAGTTTTATTTCTGAAAGCTCAAGTCTGTGCAGGATGTGGATGGTTCAATCCGCGGTGGCCAGAGGCAGCTTGAAGACGGACTGGGCTTTGAGGCCATTTTGCAGAACCGTTTTGTAAAAGAGCCTTGTGGGACATGGGTAAGAGAGGAGAAAAGACAGGAAGAAGTACAGTAGTCAAGAGAGGGTGTTAAATATTCATTATGGCCTCTTGTTTGCTCTGCTGCAAACATGAAGCTTATATGATACTAGCAGGAATTGCAGATCATCTAAGCTCCAACAACATTTACCAAAATTAAACACTCGGTATTTCTGAAGTATACGAGGCTAAAGGTAATTCCATTTAAAATGATACAGATCAAATAAATGAAAACAAAACCTGATACTTCATGTTCACAGACGAGGAGTTTAAGGAAATAACGTTTTATTTTCAGATGTGTTTTGGATTATTGTCAACTTATTCTAATGTTTAGATAAATTTAAGTTTTCAACCAAATGTAAAAAAAATTAGAGCTGAAATTTGAATAAAAAGTATAAAACCGAGCCCGGATGTTTAAATGTTGATAGTTAATGTAACTTGAGTGCATCTACATGCAGATGTAAAGGCCAACGATGGTCCTAAAAGTGGTCCAACAACCTGGTCTTATGAAAGCAAGCAGAGACTTGTGGTTCACAAGGGTGGGGTTCAAGAACAGCTGGTGGTATCTGATATAAAGGGCTGTATTCCCCTAATGCTTTTGTCTAAATTCCCCATTTGTCACCATTTCATCTTTATTGCCATCTGCTCAGCTTTGGCATGTAAACAGACAAAAGTAACATTTTAGCTCAAGATAAAATTTAGGATCCTAATTGCGAAGATCCTCTTGATAAACAGCGCTTGTAAACTTTGAAAGTTGTGCTAAGAAATGGCTGAACGCGTAAGCAAAGACATGACAGGAAAAGAAAACTTGATTCTAATCAGAAGCTCTTTGAGATAGGAAATTATTGCAACTTCTGTGTCAAAAGCCCAGTGACCAAACTTTCAGTTAACCTTCAGTTAACTAAGTTCTACAAACCAATAAAAATTACCACAAATTTGGTTTAAAAAAAAAGTAACCATGTCCAATTGTTATCACCTCTTTAAATGATTAAACCTTTTTATTTCTCTTCTGGCGTTTGTATTTAGCCAGGGGCACCTCAATGATGTTGTATTTTCTCCTCCTCCTTTTCACCCAGTATTTGACAACCAGTAAAAAGGGTCACAATAATTGTTCTGTTATTTAAACAACGTGTGTGTATTATTTAAAATAAATTTTATGTGATTTAGCACCTGCTGCACCTTTGTGCAGCCCACACTGCAGGATAAGCTTCCTGCTGCAGCTGATCAGCTGTTCTCAGTCCAGAGCAGAGAAGTGGGCGTGGCCAAGAGCGCTTGCAGGTGGCTGAGAGCAGCGAAGACAGAGGAAAATTATGAGGGTTTAAATTGCCTTAATAATAATAATTAATAAATAAATTTCCTCTCTCAGTGTGTTTTTTTGTCAAGACTGGTATGTTAAGATGGTTATGACTTTATGAGGACAAGGTCTACCATCATAAAAACTAGAAAAACTCAAACAAGTAACCATCAACTCCTCTGTCTCAAAGGTCCACGCTCTGCTCCCTGTTTTAAGTCATAAACGAGATTTATGAAGGTGTGTGTGATTCTATATGCTGTTAAATGTAAGCAAACACACGTGTAGTCACATACCAGTACCTTTAACAATTTAATGTGTAGCGCTGTAACGAGACTGATGTCAGCAGTAGTGGCACTTATGACATACTAAAAAACAAGATTTAGTCATGGCCTGGCTCAAGCTTTAGGGCAGAATTTATTACAAGGATAATGAAACGCAAAGAGTGAGTTGATTATAACTTGTCTGTATTCTAATGTTAGTTTTACTTTTCATTCGTTCAACCTTTATCTAGACAGGTTAATTCACATGTGTCAAACTCAAGGCCCAGGGGCCAAATGTGGCCCTCAGTGACATCTTATCTGGCCCCAAGATGTTATTTTAAATGTAAAATACTTTTATCACTTTAATTTTTTCAGTAATCTTTGATGATGATGTCAAAAGTACAACAGAGAACATCAAATGAGACCAATCAAACTATTTTTGAGGAACCTGCAACCAAGAAAAGATGTCGAGTATCTAACTTGAGTTAATGTAGATTCTGAAACCGGCCCTTAGCTTGAAAAGGGTTTTTAATTTTGGCCCCCTTTTGTAAATGGGTTTGACACCCCTGGGTTAATTAATCCCGTGGAGCATAATTTATCCTGTGTCCTTTGCTCATTTTGTTTTGCTGTATGTACAGCGCTTTGTTGAAGTTTTTAAGTGTTTTAAAAATAAAGTGGTATAATAATACATAAGGATGCCTCATGCTTTCCTTTATATTATTTTCCTTTGAAGAAAAAGTGCTTAGGGATTTATAAACCCTGTTAGACGTGCATGTTACAACAAAATGTTTGCCAAAGCCTAAACCGGCTAAGTGTCATCTTTTATTCATGAGTGCCAAATAAACAAAATGCGACTCTTTAGCTTTAGCAAAAGAGCTAACTCATAATCCTGAGTTGTGTGCTAGAGGTACAAGAACATGTATTCAAATATCTATAACGGAACACACCAGTATTGATAAGTGCCATCATTTGGGCAGATAACACGACGCCGACTTGTACCTTACACAAAACACTTGGTCAGATGAGTTTTACTCAGACGGCTAATGTTTATAGCTTGTGTTAGCATTAGCCTGCGAGCGTGAAAAACTTAAAGCTGCCAAAAAGGAAACTGGACTTCTGCTAGCGTTAGCCATTAGCAGCTGTGTCAAAAACGTCACTGACAACTTTTCTTTTCTTGGCTACACGTCGTCAGCCGTTTCGTACCCATAGAATGGGAAACGTTCAGGCCGCTATTGCTGTCTGTGCTCCTGGTATGAAACTGTCATATGCGTCGCACAGCATTTGTGGCGCAGCTTTAGGGTATTTGCTAATTATGTGGTCTCTCAGGGCTAAAAAGCTCGTAGCCTGGGCATTTGGGCTAAACCCGGACTTTATCAAATTTGACCAAACAACTGTAAACAGGTTCTCGGCACATTAAAGCTACATTTTTCATCTTTCTACACATATTCTATCATTTCGAGTAATTCGACTTACATTACTTTATCTTCTTTTTCTAGCCTCATCGGCAGCGGCTGCCTTCTTCTTCTTGGGGTCTGGCCTTCCCTTCCGGTTAGCGATTTTTCCGGGAACCTCCCACTTATTTTGTCAGCGGCTGTCTGACCTCGTACGTCTGACGTAAGCACGTACCTCAAAACTTAATGTTTTTATACGTCTTTGACGCCGCCATATTGGAGCGGGAATAGGTCACAACTGTCGTACGATTAAACGGGAGAAACAAAACTTTTAGTACAGTAATTTGGAGATAAATTAACATTATTACTATATTAAAATATATTTTAGGATTTATATAGTGAAGTCAAAATAAAAACACAGTTTTGCATTTTTATAAAACAAAAATAATAATTGGATGGACTTATGGCCAGATAACTTGTTTGCTAACTGAAATGAGCTGTATTGTAATGTCATCTAATGAATGACATTTAGCTTATCTCTCCTTGAAGGCTTACCAGAGAAACTAAGTCCCTAAGGAGAAGCTCAAAAATGCTCAAGACAGTACAAGAACAGAGATAAAGCATCAGTCATCTATTTCTCATCTCTAGGTGTGTGTCCAATATACTTTTGTTCTGTGATATCATCAATGTCTTCACCAATCAGCTGTAAACCTGCTCCATAGAAAAACACAACTCTACTGTGACTATTCAAGTCTGTCAAATTTGTTTTAACTCTGCATATATTTGTATATACATTATTTTTAGGTTTAGTAAAATGATCTCTTCCATAACTTAATTTAAATAATGTTTGTAGTAATTTGGGCATTTTGTTGGGATTATGCCCAAATTATCACTTACACCTTATATTACAATATTAATGCTAAAAGAAAATCAAAGTGACTGTTAAACCTCACATTTCTTTTGACCTTAGTTCTTCATGCTCTTCATTTTAATGCTGTTGTTTTAATTTTTTAAGGTATATTCTTAGTGCTTTTTATTTCTCAGTGTTACCCTTAGTGTTAAGCACTTTGATAACAGTCTATCTGTTTTAAATTGTGCTCTATAAATAAATATGACTTGACTTCTGCAGTTCATACAACGAGGTGTAGGCGTTTTCTTCTTACCTTGGATAGTTGCATGGTTGTGTTGCGGTTTTGTATGGTGGCTGCGTTAACACCACTTGTTTTCACTATTATTATTATTATTATTATTATTATTATTATTATTATTGTAAGTAATGCTGGTTTCAATACTTTCATTTTGACAATTGCCTTTCCACCTTTTACAGATTGACGTCTTTGCAGCTGCACACAGGCCCAACTTAAAAATATATTACATAGATAGAAATACATTATAATTTTTAAAAATGTACTACATTATATGTATTGTTTTTCTCTCCTTCCACCCCAGTTTTCTCTCTTTGTTTTTTTATGTGTTTGTATTTACAATGCAACATAATGATTGTCACCTTATGCAACAAAGAACAAAAGGCTGTCGGATTTGGATTCCTCAAATAATGGAGTTCAATCCATGCACTAAATATGAAACATGTTCATACTATGATACGGCTTCATCTACATAATAAACCCCTAATTACAAAACAATTTATTTATTTAAACCTCAAACCACTTTTTGTCTTGTTAAAACTGCTGTTCTCTTGAATGGTTTTACTGACTGACTGCATATTTATCCCACCATGAACCGAACACTTTTATCTTTTTGTATGTTCTTCTCTCATATACAGATTATCGGTATTCAAAAAGTTACTTTTTTTTTTTTTAATGGAAAGTTGCACCTAGATTAAAACATACCAGTGATGATCATTCAGTTTTTCAATTCGGTTATTTCAGATGAGTTTTATTAGACGTGTAAAATTGCATTTTTCTCGTCAGTGTGATAAAATGCATTTTTGCTGTAATGCATTTTGTGACCACACGGGGGCGCTATATACCTTTACTCACAGCTTGTCAAGAAAAACCCTCAATAATTTGGAAAAGAGCAGTAAAATGTCAACATTCATCCTTATTCTGATGTTTTTTTTAAGTAACTTACAACAAAACAACATAATTATTGACATTTAAATACTTCTGTATTGATTTTATGAGAAAGTTTAGTTTATAGCTGGAGTTCACAAGTTGTGATTGATGTGGATTGATGCAAATTTTCTCTAAAACTGGATTTTTCGTTTTTCTTTCGGCTGCTCCCTTCTTCAGGGGTTGCCCCAGAGAACTACACAAAAATCTGGCAATTATTTTGTTAATTAATTTATGTCCTTCCTGACACAACCACAGACCGCCGAGATACCACAGCCCTTTGTGTGGAGCGGGGAGCTGCCATCTAGAGCATCCAGGGAGCAGATGGTGGGGGTTAAGGGCCTTGCTCAAGGGCCCAGAGTGGGGCAAATGAGGGTGGAGGCAGGTGTGGGTGCTTCACCTATCCCACCCACAGTTTGATGTTACTGGTACAGAGTTGAACCGGCAATCTTTCGATCACAGGCCCACCTCTAACCTCAGCGCCACCACTCCCCTTTCTCTGAAACTGGATAAACCATGATAAAAAATAAAAGTTGAACATCATTTTTTATTCTCAAAAGGTACATTAATGAATTGCAGCAGCTGGTAGATATTCATTGCTGAAGAACAAGACACTGCTGTTCTTCCACAGTCAAGAACTTGTCATGAACAGCAAAACTACAAAATAATGTTTTCATTTCTGGAGTTCAAGGACTCTGTTGTCTGCACCGTTAGAGTCAGTGTGGTCTTTTCTCTCGTGATGGAGCGAGCAGTCTCTGTCTGATTGCTGTCCTGGCAGAGAGCACACATGCTCCTGTGAATGACGGGCAGGACTGGATCCTACTGGGTCATTTTGTCTCACAGAACTCTGTTGTCTCTTGTTATGGACCGTGGACATTGACGTTGAGTTTCCTGTGGGTGTCAGCGAGCTGAAGGCTGTGTGATACTGGGGCTGGCTTGCAGGAGTGTTGGGGGAATGAATTGGTGTCTGGGGACTGGTTAGATTTTGTGCAACATCAGTGTGGGTTTGAATACTGATTGACGGATGCGCCAGACCATGGTTTACTGGAAAGCTACTGAAGGCTGAGCTAATGCCCAGGAGGGACGGACCTCCCTGGCTCTGAGTCATGCAAGGGGAGCTTGGAGTTGCTCTCTGTGTATGACAGGGACTGTACTGGTTCTGTAGCCTGTTGGTTGTATTTCCTTCTCTCTCAGAGCAGCAGAGATGCAACCACGCAGAGCTTGATGAATGCAAAAAGACAGGACCTCTGCTGTGTGAGGACATCCCGCTGCAGCTGCATGCCGGGTGGCTAATTGTCTCACGATTCAGGTGCAGTTCGTTTGACGTGTCTGATACAACATGAGGTTGACAGTTTCTGCAAGCTGTCGCGCTGGAAGAGATACGGTGCAGCGTGGTCATATCAGTCTGCAGGCAATGTATCATGTTGTGGACCTCCTTGGCCATGTTGGACACTTCCTCGTTTAAGCTGTTCACCTGAGAGGAATAAAGAAAAGCTTAAAGTCCTTTTTACAGACAGAAAAATCACAGGTTGATCATCATTATGTTTATCTACTGAAAAAAAAATCTATTTCTTAGAATGGGTCAGAAGCAGACCCACTTTGAGGTTTTATTTCCAATTCATTTAGTTTGCATATCAAATTATGTAAATTAATCCTGAGTTTAGGGCCCCAGATTTGCATTCACTGGTTCTGTAACTGCAGCCCTGAAGGATTTATTTGTTAATCAAGAAGTCTGAAGAGCCGAGTGTTCTGCTGCTGTAACTCAGGGGTGAAGCTGAGACACGAACATTTTAACGGCTGCAACAAATACTGCAACACCTACAGGAGCTAGCTGTTAAATCTAAAATGAACCCTCTTTACAAACAAGACACATATAGGAGTCACATTGAAACTTATTCAGGTTTTAATTCATGCAGACACAACTTTGTGTCCAACCCTAACCACCACGCCCACCAAGCTGTGTCTGTGTTCTTAAAGAGAGATTAATTCAAACATAGACACGCTTTCTACTTGGTGATTTTAAAATCTACTTTAATGTACTGTATTTTTCGCTGTATAAGTCATGTTTTTTTTGTTTAATTTGCATGCCCTGCAACTTATACACCGAAGCAACGTATTTATGGATTTTTTTCCCATATTTATAAAAACCAATGTTTGGCTGAGATGTGACCGTTTTCATTCATTCTGACTGAAAATATTGAACACTACCATTTTCAGCCACTAGATGGCACTTGAGTGTATAGCATGCCGTTGTGTCATGTAATAGGTAAAAGTGGCTATTAATGACACAATCAGCTTTTCATAGCCTGCTACCATTGTCTGCCTGGAGCAACCGAATCAGCTTCATTTCACTGCACAGCTCCGGCGAAATGCAGCTAGTTTGACCATTGAAGTGCATTTATTAAGTAAAAGTTCAACTGAGACACACCTTTGCTATAATGTCGAGCACACAAATAATTATTTTAGGTGCTTATCTTCTTAAATTTCGAAGAAATACACAGCAAGTCCTCTCGTCCACATGCCTACTTCCACGTATCGGCTTTTGAAATGCAGCTGATTTGACCGTCAAAGTGCATTTATTAAAGAAAAGTTGGACTGAGACACACCTTTGCTATAATTTCAAGCAAACAAATAATTGTTTTTGAGTGTTAATCTTGTTAAATTCTTGTTAAAGTCCTCTTGTGCACTCTCCCACGGCCGCCATTTAGCAGCCAATCAATTTTTGGCACAACACCGGCCCACATTTCCAGGTTGTCAGCGGAGACGCATAATAGATGCGACGTATACAGCAAAGAAAGATATTTATGGATTTTTCCACTTTATTAGTCATATTTGGACCAATGCGACTTATAGGGAGGTGCAACTGGTACGACGGAAAATACGGTACACCAATTCAATAAAATGGACCAAAAAATCCTAAAGCAAGAGTAAATGGGTGTTGTAATAAAGTTAGGAACTATTTATACCGACGACAGTCTGCAATAGTTCTTCAACACTTCCACTCTTCAACAATAATGAATATACCAAAAGAAAAATAAATACTAGTAAATAAATGCTCATAAATACAATTTTCATTTTCACTGGGGTATTTTTATCAGGCCAGTCCTAGCAGACAACTTATGAAGCTCTTGATAAAAAAATGAGTAAAACATGTTCTATTGAATTCTGTTCAGGTTGCAATTGCTCTGGATGCTACAACAAAAATAATGACACATTGAAAATATGTATAATTTTTTTTAAATAATTTTACAGTTTTTACTGAATCATACCTCTTTGTTGAGCTTGCTGATGTTCTGTCTCACTTCTTCTGTCTCAAGGAGCAGGTTAGCACTCACCTGTAACTGGTCTACAGAAGCATAAAAAAGGTTAATCTGAATATTTGCTTCTTACAATACACTATACTGTAAATAGGCCTGTCACGATAACAAATTTTTTGGGCTATTAATTGTCTCAGAAATTATTGCGATAAACAATAATATTGTTTGAAACTTGACAATAATTGGTTATTATTGTCAAATTTAAGAGGAAATGTTGGTAATTTGTTTGTGTGTAGTACATTTTTTGACCACTGGATGGCAGTATAAGACTGTTTGAACTGAAGGATGGATAGTGAGGGAGCGAGCAGCGTGTCTCTTTAAGAAAATGGGAGGGAGGCTTGTTGACGTGACATGGGCTGTCTCTCCTCTTGTTTTTGGTTCTCAAAAATGGCGGACGCTCGGTGTGGTTTGAGCTCTTTAGCATTTTTCACACAAAGCTTTTAATTAAAAAAAAAATCAGCAAACAAGTTCTCAGCTTCTTTTTGCAGAGAAAAACAACTTTTTAGATGAAGGCATGAGTTTCAACGAATTTTGGAGCTTCAACAAGACGGAGGTTTTTTTTCCCCGAAGTCGGCCTGTTAGCTTAGCTCGTAGCTTAGTTACTTTTAACGATCCAAAAACACGATTTTGGACGGTTAAAGCCGATTTTAAAGAGAAAAGAGAAAGGGAGGGGTCAGTGAAGAGCACCAGAGTTGAGTCTTTTGTCCTCCAGTGTCTTCAGTAGAAAGAGAGAGACGAAGCAATGATAAAGCTGATAAATGAAAATGAGGTCGATAATTTTCATTTATTATGCGATTAATTTATTGTTTATCGCGACAGGCCTAGCTGCATATGACATTTAATTCTGCGTAAAGATTTAAAAACAAAACCAGTTTAATCTAATGATTTATTGTGCTTGCTAGATAAACATTAATTTCACAAAAACTGTTTCAAACATTTTTTTAAATGTATTTTCTATTTACATTTTGTCCATTCTTCATCAGTTTACCTTGCATCTTTGGCTCCTCCTGCTCTACATTGTACTGAAATGTGTGACCATTGTCCTCGATGCCGTCTACGACCCTGACAATCAGACAAACGGACGTTAATTCATTTTGAAAAAGTAAATATCACATAGAAGCTTTTGTGTGAACAGATTACCTGGGACTCAGGTTTATTGGACTAACACAAGAATAGGATGGGAGGAGTAATTTGGAAGGTCGATGATGCAGGTTTGAGTTATCTTTGAGACCGAGCAGAGGAGAAGGACAGAGTTCATCGTTCTTTAAAGGCCGAGGAGAGGGGCTGCGACCTCGGCATCTCAGAGCAGGTGATCGACAGAGGGGGAGCGTTTCAGCGTGTTGGAGCTCCTCCCCTAAAGTGCTGAGGCGACACTGATGGATCGGGCTTCCTAAACCTTGAAGCAGAGGTAATCTCCTCTGCCAGGAGTAGCTCATCGTGTTCGCTGCATCAGCCTCAGTGACATGGGGGGGCTTATGGTCCCCAGAAATATGACCCTGGAAAAAGACAGATGGAAAACTCTGTGAAACTAATTTCTTCCTTTGTGTACAATACTTTATCACATTATGTTAGGAACTATGAGACAACGCTTCTAGTTGTGCAAAAGCAGACTAATACATCACTAGAGAAATAAAGTGTGAATGCTGTGTACTGAATGACTGCTAAAATATGGTACATGAAAATAAAAATAAAACTGGAAGTGAGTAGTTAAAGCTGAAAGAAGCAGAACACTAACCCCAATGCTAACTAAAGGTTAAAACACGTTGGACAACTAAAAGTAGCAATGCAGCAAATATACCGTATTTTTCGGACCATAAGGCACACCGGATTAAAAGACGCATTAAGCGAAACTAGTTCATTTTGACAGATTTTTGAGTGATGCATAAAATCATTTCAAGGTCAGAAAGCACAACCAGAATTAATACATAAGGCTCACTGCTGATTTATGAGAAAATTAAAGGATTTTAAGTGCGTCTTATACTTCTAAAAATATGGTGGTTAAAAGTAGTAAAAGTCTAGCTAAAGCAACAATATTGACAGGTTTTGAGTTGGTTAATCAGCCTTTAATTGTTCTGGGCTGTGGCTTTTTCAGCCAATCCTACTTAAGAGGCTGGTTTCAGGGAGAATTTGTCCCCTTCCCTTCCCTCTCTTGGCTCTCTTTAGTCTCTCTCTCTCTCTTTAGTCTCTCTCTCTTTAGTCTCTCTCTTTAGTTCCTCTCTCTCTTTAGTTTCTCTCTCGCTCTCTCTCTTTAGTCTCTCTCT